TGTCCTCTCGGCCTGGGTTGAGACGGGAGGGCGGTGGGGCCCAGTCGGTGGAGATGGGAGGGCAGGGAGGTTTAGTTTAGCACCCTTCCCAGGTAGCACAAGCTTGGTTGGGTTTGAGTTTTGTCTGTGGGATGAGGACCTTAATCCTTACAGAGAGAAGGCCTACCCAGGGTTAGTCCTGCTTGAAATCCTAGCTTTCTTGTAATGATGGTTGTCGTGTGTCCCATCCTACCATTTTCAGAAAAATGTTCGTTGGTGGTCTGAGCTGGGATACAAGCAAAAAAGACTTAAAGGACTATTTTACTAAATTTGGAGAGGTCGTTGATTGTACAATAAAGATGGATCCTAATACTGGACGGTCAAGAGGGTTTGGCTTTATCCTCTTTAAAGACGCTACCAGTGTGGAGAAGGTAAGCAGAGTAAGGTATTCTCATGAACCTGAATCCCAAGGACAGTGTTGTTCTGCCCCTTTACTTGTGCTTTGCCGTTGGTAGACTGCTTTGAGACACCTGTTGGCAACTTAAATTCCTGTTTGAAAAGAATAGAGATTAAGGCGGAGTGTGTATGCTACTGTGGTTCAGGAAGATGGTTGATGTTGATTACCTTTTATTTGCCCATTCCTGGGCACGGAGCTAAACACTTTACTTTGAGAAGTAGAAAAATAATCGAAGATTGCTAGGAGGATAGGCAGTTTAGCTTCATTTTACAGGAAAAGAGAAATTCTGGGGCTTGGAGAAATGTAAATGAAAAGGTCATGTGCTAGTTACAGGCAGAACAGGGTTCCAGTCCTACAGGATGTCTCCCACCTGTGCCCAGTCACTGCTCACCAGGCTAGAGATGGTTCTACGCTGGGGTACTGCTTGGCAGGGAAAGGGGAGGTGCACAACATGGGGACAGGCATATGGAGGGAGGCTGAGGGAGGTGTGGAGAGGATGGGATTAGAAAGAAGTTGGGCTGGGGTAGAGTTTGGAGGGGTGAAGCACTGAACTTCTGTGATTCGAGGAGAAGCGCCTAGGGGGTCGTATTGGTAAGTTCGGTCCTGACCCGTTTGTTATGGAACAGGTCCTAGACCAGAAGGAACACAGGCTCGATGGCCGGGTCATTGACCCCAAAAAGGCCATGGCTATGAAGAAGGACCCTGTGAAGAAAATCTTTGTGGGGGGCCTGAATCCTGAAGCCACTGAAGAAAAGATCAGGGAGTACTTCGGAGAGTTTGGGGAGGTGAGTGGGCTGCCAGATGCCCTGAGGCTGCTGCTCTGGTCACCGGGCTGGCTGGAATCCTGGGCAAGGCTTTTTACTCTTTGGCCTCTTCTGTGAGTTCCCTATGTTTTAGGATATATGGGCACTTTGATTCTGAGCTGAGGTTTGCTACATTTTTACAGATCGAGGCCATTGAACTTCCAATGGATCCCAAGTTGAACAAAAGACGGGGTTTTGTTTTTATCACTTTTAAAGAAGAAGATCCCGTGAAGAAAGTTCTGGAGAAAAAGTTCCACACCATCAGTGGAAGCAAGGTGAGGGATCTCAGCTGAATGCCTGCTTGCCTGTTCCCACAGAGCTGGCTCGTACAGGCGCAGGGGAGCTTGGGCTACATCCAAGTGCTCTTTGGGTTTTAAGTGCTCTTTGGGTTGCTGGACCTTAGCTGTTCCTCTTGAGTGTAGGCCCCTCATTATGACAGGTGGTTCTGTCCTGCACAGAGCTCCCAGGTTAGGACTGGTGCTCTAGGAAGTACATGTGGAGATGGGGCCAGGGGTGACCAGTGCTCTAGATCTATAGCCCAAGGTGTATGCAGCCTGTCCCCTGTGTGCTAACACGTTTTCTGCTCTGGAGCTTTCCTCCTCTCACTTGGCAGCACTTTAGCCAGCTTCTCCAGGCACCCTGAGTACAGTTCATTCTGTCCTCAAATGTGGCATCATACAGCGGGACGTAGGGCTTCTCAGAGCTCTGGTGGGGGAGAGAGTAGTTTAGGTTTCGATTTGGCAGTTGAGAGATGAAGGTCTGCCTGGGTGTGGGCAGCTCTGCTGGAGTAGGAGTGACAGCCAGAGAAGGTGGGGATTAGGGCCAGGCCTGGTGGTCATGCCTGTAATCCCAGCTTTTTGGGGACCAAGTGAGGCATGATTGTAAGTTTGAACTCAGCCTGGGCAATTTAAGTGATTTAGGAAGATCTTGCTGAGGGTTGGGGATGTAGTTCAGTGCAAAGCCTCTGGATTCAATCTCCAGTATCACAAAAAAATTTTTAATTAGGCCCCTAAATGTTCATAAGATGGCCACTCGGCTGGTCATTGAGTGGTCATTTTTATCCGTGTGCCCCTCACAAGTGGTGGGAAGGAGACTCTGAACTTTGTGGAACTGTCATTTACTAGCTCTTCAAAACAGTAGATTGAGTTCAGTATTTTAATGACTTGCAGGATAGAAAACCTGGTTCTAGTGCTTAGGTAGAGGTAATCTTCCAGTTAAGAGAACGTTTTTGTGACAACACACTGTAGAAGTACATTTTACTGTGTTTAAGAGAAGGGATGTTAAGACTTCAAAATGTTCTGCCTGGGGATGTAGCTCAGAGTCGAGCCTGCCAAAGTCCTGAATTTGAGCCCAGTACTGAAAAGAAAAATACTGTTCTGGTTTATTAACCCTAAGCACGAGCATTTGAAAATCCCCACCCACCACTACCCCCTCCCATGGGCAGAAAGGAAACTGACGGCATGGGGCTCTGCAGACATCTGGCCCACCTCTAGCACTGCTGCCCTGGCCTTGGGTGGCCCTGTTAGCCTTAAAGCCCTGCCCTAATCTCCAAGCTGGCTTTACGATCAGGTGGAGGTCCCCATCTATTAAGAGAGTTTGAGTGGGTTGAGATTCTTGCGGCGGGGAGGCAAGTCTCCCTGGAGCCAGCACCTCTGGGAGTCAGCCCTCTTGGCCACCCAGTAGGGGCAGAGTGGCGCTGGTCTGTCCATCCTTGGTGGACTCGGATGTGTGCTACTTTCCTGGGCTGAGCTGTCTAGCCCTAGTGCACTTTTCCGGGAAAGGTTCTCTTCAGAAAGGCCCTTGGCTGTGGTTCTAGAAGGTTCTAGCCCAAATGTTTCTTATCCCAGTGTGTTTTGTCCTTAGGAGATGGGCTGCTGCCCATCTGAGTGCAAGTCACAGTGAGGGTCTGCAGGCTCTATCCTGAACGTGTCCCATGACTTGACCTGCTGTTGTCTTTTTTTTTTTTTTTTTTAGTGTGAGATCAAGGTGGCCCAGCCCAAAGAAGTCTATCAGCAGCAGCAGTACGGCTCAGGGGGCCGTGGAAACCGCAACCGAGGGAACCGAGGCAGCAGTGGCGGTGGTGGTGGAGGTAAGCGGAATCCAGATGAAGATGGGTCCTCTTCCCTGGTTGCAGGGTGTCGTCCGTGCCTGTCTTGGGCAGCTCTGGTGTTTGTGCAGCAGGATGGGTAGGCATTTTGAGCTGGAGAGGGGAGTGGTTTTCCTGGATTAGCTCTGCTTGTGCTGCTGTGGCTCCTTGGAATGGAAGAGCCCAGTCTTAGTCCTGCTTGGGGCCCCAGCGCAGAGGGCGTGTTGGCATTGCACTTCGGGCGGCAGCATAGCATGGTGGGTTGTGCTTGGCTCCGTGGCTGTCATGGGTCTTGGGGTACCCAGGGCTGGGTTGGGGCAGAAGGGTAGGGCAGAGCTGTGCCAGGCGCTTCCATCCCAGGGCCCTCTGACTCCAAAGCCTGAACTGCATCTTTTCAAAGCCGAGCTGCCAGGGAGGGTGGCGGCATCAGTGAGTAGCCTCCTGTACGTTAAGGAAGTGAACGTCCTGGCCCGCAGGGTCTCAGGTGCAGGGCTGGGCCCAGGGCCCTCTACACCAGACAGCAGGTCCTTGGCTTCTGCCTGAGTTGCCATAGTAACCCCGCCACCCAAAGGGCAGGATCTCCATCCTAGCTCCTGCGTGTGCTAAACGGCCCATGGGCCCCTGTGCCCTGCTCCCCCCACAGGTCAGAGTCAGAGTTGGAATCAGGGCTACGGCAACTACTGGAACCAGGGCTACGGCTACCAGCAGGGCTACGGGCCCGGCTATGGCGGCTACGACTACTCGCCCTATGGCTATTACGGCTACGGCCCCGGCTACGACTACAGTAAGTAGGAGAGAGGGAGCCCGGCGCACTCTCCTCAGGGGAGGCAGGTTAGACAGTGCAGGGCCGCTGGCAGCAGGGGCTTTGGAGTCAGACAGGTCTGGCTCGGGGGCCTTGGTAAGGCGGGGAAGACAGTCCCTATAGTGAGGGTTTGAGGGTCCTGTAGGAGGATGTGTAGCAAGCGCCTGGCACAGGGTGAATGCTCTGTAAGTAGTACTCGCTACTTGTTCTTGTCCCTAGGTCAGGGTAGTACAAATTACGGGAAGAGCCAGCGACGCGGTGGCCATCAGAATAACTACAAGCCATACTGAGGTGGCAGCAGGAGCGGCCGGCTGACTGACCGCACACGCTTTGTTTGGATACGGAGTAAACGCAATTATGTACCAAATTTAACTTGGCAAACTTTCTATGGCCTACCCCTGTGCATCTTATTTAAAAATTTTCCCTTGGAAATCACTCTCCTGTTTACTATTTCCAGAGCTCTAGTTTTAGGCAGCGTGTGGTGTCTCAAGAGGCCAGAGTGGCATTAGGGGCTGGTTGTATTACCGGGTCACTCAACCAGAGTGGAGGGTCTGCTTCCTGCTGTCGCTCTGCAGCCTAGACCTGTGGACCCAGGTTGTAAAGAGTAAATTGTATCTTAGGAGACCAGTGTCACCTTTTTTTCACCTTTTAATTTTATATTATTTGTGTCATACATTTCCTGTAATGGAAGTGTTAATTTTACTGTACTTTTTGGTACCTTGGGGAATCTAATGTATTGTAAGGTATTTTACACGTGTCCTGATTTTTGCCACGACCTGGATACTGAAGCTATCCAAGCTTTTGAAATAAAATTGTAAAAACCCCCGAGCCTGGGTGAGTATGGAGAGCTGTGTGATTGGGAATGCCAGATGTGTGGCACTGGGCCTCCTCCCATAGCTGCCCAGTCCTGGAGTGCAACCTGGAGGGACTGCTCACGCCCTGTCCGAGCCAGTTGTGTTCCGAGTCTGTCTGGGGACAGGAGCCTATCAGGCCTAACCCGCTCCAGTCCTTGGTTACTGCCCCCACTGACGGGGAGTTATGGAGTGTGGTGGGATCTTCTGATAGGAGTTGGGTAGTCACTACCAGGGTGGCCAGAGCCTTCCTCTGGGAAGGAAGCAGTGGGGAGGGGTCACCACTCAGAACAGGAACATCTCTGGATCTCTAGACACAAGCAGTCACTCACCTGGAGGGCGGATGCATGACTGATCCCGGGCAGGCTCAGGCCTGAAGTCTCAGTGTCTCACAGCTTCTGACTTTCTCTTCCATGTCTGAAAAAGGTCACCCTATAACTGGATCAGCCTTGCTGCGGTGCTTTCAGTTTCCCAAGTGCTTGCTTGGGTGGCCTTTAGGAGATCAGGCTCACCCTTCACCCACACACCCTCGAGTAGTGTCCTTTTCTCGCATACTGGCCCCCAGTTTTCGCGAGACTTCTGGCTGTCTCGGAACTCTCCATCACTTCTGTGGGCAGGCAGCCCCCACCACCTCTGGCAGGGACTAGGTCTCCTCAGCCCAAAGCCCCTGGGCATAGGTGTCCAAGGGCTGCTGCTGATGGTTCTGACCCCTCTCTGGGGGCTTACAGAGTTTACCCATGTCACAGCCTCAGTGCATAGCCCCATCCAGTTTGGTAGTGATTTCCCTGAAAATATTTTAGGTGTAGCACAGGCTAGCCTTGATCTTCCTAGGTGATGAGGATTGTAGCACAGTCCCATTCCAGCAGCTTAGCAACTGAGGTGGTCAAAGCCCCGCTGTCCACCCCCAGTATAACTGCGCACATAATCACATCTGATTGCACAGGCCTAAAACTGGGTCCCACACCGATGCCTGTCCCACTCTTCCGCACTCCAATCTAGTAAATCCTGGGAAGGAACTGGGAAGGCCCCTCCATTGAGCGTGTGCTGTTCCCACATGCTGCTTTCTGGAGATTGCCCAGCTGCCGCTCAGGCTCACCTGTCAGAATGGCATCCAGCGTAGCCACCACCTGCCATGCATTGTCCCTGCTGAAACACATTGGAGGCTTAAACTTAAGTATGTTCCTTCCAGGGCCATCCGTGCTCAGCAAGATACAGTTCTCCTTCAGCCTGTGAGGGTAGAACATGATTTTACATGGCCTTCCAAGCCTTTCTTGGCCTGGTGTGTGGGACTCCAGCCACAGTGCCCTCAGTCATTCAGAGATCGCTTCCTACCAGGACACCACTTGCCTCTGGCTGGACATCAGCAGCCCATGTTTGGCCTGAGTTACGCACCCATGACCCTGAGTTTGCTTGCCTCCTTCCCAGGACTCATGAAGGTTTGAGTACAGTTCCCACTGCCCACGGTTACACTAGACTGCAGTGAGAGTTGGCCGAGTGGTTTTTCTTTTTCCCCTTTGTAGCACCAGGGTGGGACATCCTAAGGTGCCTCGTCCCTAGCCCTTTATTAAAAAATTGAGTCAGGCTGGGCAGAATAGGCTGAGGCAGGAGGATTGCAATGAGTTTAACACCAGTCTAGGCTGTATAATAAGACCAGCCTGAACTAAAGCATAGATCTTTGTCTCAAGCTCCACCCTTTAAAAAACAATGAATCAAAAACAACCAGAAACAACAAAAAACATTGCATCTCAGGGTCTCATTAGGTTGCATGGCAAGGCTCAAACTGATCTCCTGCCTCAGTCTTTGAGAATCCTCGGGGTCACTTGCTTGTGCCACTAAAATTTCTATTTTTACTCATGGTGTAGATGAAAGGTAATCATTTCTTACGCGGACATTGTCCAACATAAATCGAACAAGGTCTTATCACTCGACCTAGCTTCTATAACTTGCCGCTTAGGAGTACTTTGCAGTTCCACAAAGGAGTATTTTAAATTTCCCATTCTGTGAGGAAGATTACTGTCTTCCTCATTGTGCCTAAGAATCATTTGTATTTTGGCTGCCTGAGAAAGGGGGTCTGACTGTATTTTAACTGGGAAGATGAGGCAGGGCGTCCCTTCCGTCTTTTTTTCTGGCTCTTTCCTATTAATGGTGCTAGGAAGAACAAGGTTTGGACTTTGTAGTCAAGTACCCCGGCAACAGGTCCCTGTGAGTGCAGGTGGAATAGCCTGCCTCAAGCAAGATTCCCCGAGGGTCACGAGATGAAAAGAACTAAGTCTGGGCTTGGCTTCTTTGCCACCTGAGCATTCAAAACCCCAAGGCTGATCAATGAGGTCAGTCCCTTGCTTGTGAAGGAGGGAGGTTTCAATCAGTTCTGTGTAGGTGCATTGGCGCTGATCATCTGTCCCCCAATTGGAGCAGAAGTAAACCACTAGAGGGCATTTCCATGGTGGGCCAGGGCATGGAGGGTGGAGAAAAGGTAAGGGAGCCCTAAGGCCTGAGGCCCTGCTTGGGGCTCAGCTTGGGTGGGTGTGTGAGCCTTATGTGGGTTCACAAAGACAACTCCCTGGCTGAGCCATTTGGTCCTGTCCATCCTGACAACTCACCACTCTGGGCAGCCCTTGGGCATCACTCCACCAAGAGCCCTTGTGTGAAACTCGGCTGGTTCTAAGCAGCCTGCCAACTTTGGTGTGCTTGGCAGAGCAGTGCACAGGGCTGGGGAGAGCTCTGGTGCTGTGCACTGGGTACAGACAGACACACTGTCTTGGGACCTGGATCTCTGGAGGTGAGGCACAGTCCTGCAGCCAGGAGTGAGCCTGGAGAAGTAGGACACGTGTGGATGGACAGGCCAGAGGCAAGCTTAGGGCCTTCTGCTGTGAAGTGGTGTGGTACCATAGTGCTTTCTGCTGTATGGGGCCATTTGTTTTGAGGTAACAATACCTGGATACCAAGTAGTTGGCCTCTTCTGTCGCTGGAGTCCTTGTGGCCTTGTCTTTCACTAGATCCACGCCAATGAAGAGCCCAACGCCCCTGGAAGAGAAGGTGGGGTCTGAGGGACCACAGCAGTTGTGGCACTCTCTTGTGACCCTGAAAAGAGGCCAGAACAGTTACAGAGAGTGCCAGGAGGGAGAAGGGGCTGCTGGTGGGGACAGTAAGCACACTGGCATCAGATTGGACCTGGCTTTCCCCTCCTGAAAGTGGTGTGTTGGGCAGCAGCACCTCTCCACCTCAGTTTCTCCCCTAGAGCGCTTACATATTCCCAGCACCTGGGTAGGAGAAATGGCACCATGCTGAGCCCTGGCACCTGCATGTAGCAAGGTGACTGCTGTCCGCAGAGCTCACCTGACGTCCCCGATGATGGGATGTTTCTCTCTCTGCTGCTGGAGGAGCTCCATCAGGAAACCGCCCACGCAGGTAGCATGAGCCTGGAGCTGTTCCTTCTCCAAAACCTCTAGAACAGCCAGCCCCACTGCACAGGACACAGGGCTGCCCCCAAACTGAGCCAAGGACAAAGGGGGGTGTCATGCCCAGACTGGAGGGCCATCATGGGTCATTCCCCCAACCCCCATTGCCATGCAGTGACAGCAAGGCCTTAAGCCCCACAGCAGTAAAGGGAGACCGGGCTCCCCACGGCTGTCTTGCCTTCCTGGGTGCCCGTGATGATAAGCCAGGGGTATGAAGGAGCCTCCAGAAGATAAGAGCCAGAGCTGAGTGTGTGCTGTGCATTCTCAGAGCTGGTTCTGCCGAGGCAACTACACTCACGTATCTCTTTGTGCCTGGTCTCTGGCTATCTGGGCAGCCTGAGTGGGGACCTGCGCACTAAGGGGTCAGAAGCAAGGTGACTTTTTGTTCTGTTCTGTTTTTTGAGTCAGGGTCTCACTATGTAGTTGAGACTGATCTGGAACTCACTATGTAACCCAGGCTGATCTTGAATTCACAGCGGTCCTCCTGCCTCAGCCTCCCGAGTGCTGGGATTACAGGTGTGCGCCACCACGCCCAGCACCTGTGGATCTTTTTTAAAAAGTCAACTGAAGTATGATTTACACAGTAAATTGTTCTGTCGCCAGTGTAGGTTGAATACACTGGATGCATGTATACCTGTGGAACTTCCTCCACAGTACAGCTGCAGGATAGTCCTACTGCTCATCAGTTTATTCTGTGCCCACTGCCCACTACTGGCCCCAGGCAACTGACCTGCCTTTCCAGAATATATACACAGTATAGGCTACGCATCCTTTTGTGTCTGGCTTCTCAGCTCATTTTAGTTTTTGTAGCGGGGATTGAACTCAGGACCTTGCCCTTGTGAGGCAGGTGGTAGCCAACTTTTTGGGAGGTAGTCTAAGTATTTAGCCTAGGCTGGCCTCAGATGTGATCTTCCTGCTTCACAGTGCTGGGATTACAGGAACGTACCACCATGCCCAGGCTTTCAACATGCATTTTAAAATCTATGTTTTATAAATACCAGTAGTTGCCCCCCAACCCCAGGTACTGGGGAGTCTTGGGGTACTCTACTACTGAGCTACTTCTGCCCCACCCGCACCCTCAGGCCTTTTTGCTCAGGCTGGCTTTGAACATGCTATCCTCCTGTCTCAGCCTTCCAAATGCCTAGGGTTACAGGCATGCACTAGCATGCCCAGCAGTACTCTGTTAATTTCATTGTACAATTGTTTCATTGTGTGGGCCTGCCGTAATTTATCATTCTGTTGATGGACCCTTTAGTCCTTTAGTTACTTTGATTATTGCTTATTACAAATAAAACTTCATACTTTGAGATTACCCCTTTGTTCTCATTGCTCTTAGGTAAAAAAATCAAGTGTGGAACTGTTGGGCTACATGGTAACATGTTTGACTTTATAAGAAAGTACTTGTACCGTATCACATTCCCACCAGTATTCTGAGATTCCAGGTGCTCCACATCCTCAACATTTGATACTATCAGCCTTTTTTTTTTTTTTTTTAATGTATCATGAACTACAGGGTTGAATAATCCTTAATCTAAAATGTTCTCAAATCTGAAACTTTCAGTGTCATGTTGGCCCTCGGAGTTTTGGATTTCAGAGTGTTTTTTTCTTTTTTCCCAGACACCATTGCACTTGCCAGGCAGGTGAGGTGCGACAGCTAAAGGCCCAGGTCTCATTGTTTCTGATTATGGATGCTCATCATGTGGCTTAAAAGGTGGCTGCTGGACTGGGGGTGGAATACCTCCTTAGCAGTTCTGAGGCCCTGGCATCCATCCCCAGCACATGGGTGTTGGAGGACTTTACTTACTAATAGCATCTGGTTTAGTATCATGACCTGGCCAAGACATTCAAACAGTGCAGTATTTAGGTTCTTATCCCAGGGGATCGCCCCAGAGAAACAATGAAAAAAGCTGGGAAAACCTGGGGTTTTAATATGTAGAGTGGTTATGGGCCTAAAGCAGGAAGTAGCCCACCCCTGGCAGATACGAAAGAAAAGTCAGTGTGGTAGATAGGCCTATAATCAGAGCATTTGGGAGGCTAAAGTGGGAGGATTGGGAGTTTGAGACCATCCTGGGCTATACAGTGAGTTCAAGGCAAGCATAATACAGTGAGACCTTGTCTCAAAATAAGCCGTGCAAGGTTTGCACATGCCCATAATCCAAACACTTCAGGAGCCGAGGCAGGAGGATTGCTGTGTGTTTCAGGCCAGCCTGGGCTACATAGTGACTTGAAGGCCAGCCCAAACTACATAGCAAAATCTTGTCGCAAAGAAACAAAAAACCTGACAAAACTAAATTTAAAAAACATGCTGGGAGTAAAAATACTCAGTAAGAAACTGGCAAACAAAATGCAGCAAATCATCAAGGTTATATGTCATGACCAAGTTGGATTCATCCAAGAAATGAGGGGATGATTTAACATGCAAATCAGTGAATGTAATACACTATATTAACAGAGCCAAGGACAAAAACTATGATCCTCTCAGCAGATGCCAAAAAAAAAAAAAAACAATAAGGTCCAACACCCATTTGTGATTTTTTTAAAAATCCTACAGAAAATTGGAATTAATCTCAATCTAATAAAAGCCATCTATGACAAACCAAAAGCTAATATACTAAATGGACAAAAACTGAAAGCTTTCACTCTAAAATTAGGAACATAATCAGGATGTCCACTGTCACCACTTGTTCAATACAGTTCTGGAAACACTAGCCAAAGCAACTAGACAAGAGAAATAAAAGGAATAAGGATTGGAAAGGAAGTTATTAGCTGCAGATGACATGATAGTCTGTCTAGAAGACCCCAAAAACTCTACCAGCAGACTTGGATTTGATAACCAAATTCAGTGGCGTAGCTGGATACAAAGTCAGCACTGAAAAGTAAATAATTAGGGCCAGGGATTTAATTTAGCTCAGTAGCTCTAGTGCCTCAAGCGCAAGGATCTGAGTTTGATTTCCAGTGTGCCCACCCCAGTCAGTAGCTTTCCTGTACAGGAATAAGACTCCCAGAGAGAGAAATGATCCCTTTCACAATAGAATCCACAAAAATGAAATACCTAGGAATCAATCTAACAAAGTAAAAGACCCCTGTGTTGAAAACTAGTATTCTGAAAAAGATTGAAGAAAACAGCAAAAAATTGAAAGATATCCCTTGTTGGATAGGAAGAAACACTACAGTGAAAATGACCATGCTTCCAAGTTTGTTATACAGATTCAATGCAGTTCCAAAGTCTCAACAGCGTATCACAGAATTAAGAGAAAACAATCCTGAAATTCATTTGGACCCAGAAGAGATCTAGAGTAGCAAAGGCAATTCTGGGCAGCAGACAAGGCAGGGGGCATCACAAGCCCTGACTTGAAATTATACTACAAAGTTCCTGTGATAAAAACAGCATGGTATTGGCAGAAGAACAGATGAGACGATGCAGGAACAATTCCAGATACAGTCAGCCACCTTATCTTTGACAAAGGAGCCAAACACTTTCACTAGAAGAAAGATGGTCTCTCTAGCCAGGCGTGGTGGTGCATACCTGTAATCCCAGTACTCAAGAGGCTGCGGCAGGAGCATTGCTGTGAGTTCAGGACCAGCCTGGGCTACATAGTGAGTTCCAGGTCAGTCCCAACTACATAGTGAGACCCTGTCTCCCCCTGCCCCCAAAAGGTGCTGGAAAAACTGGCTTTCCACATGTCTTTTACCACACACTAACCTAAAATCAAAGCGGATCAAAGATGTAAATGTTAACACTAAATCTGCTGTAAGAGATAATAGGTAGAATGCTTGAGAACATGTAGACAAAGACTTCATGAACAAAACCCAGACTGCACAGGAAATAATACAAAGAATCAAGTAGGACCCCATCTTATTAAAAACCATTTGCACAGCAAGAGAAACCACCCTGGGCTGGGGATTTAGCTCAGTGGTTCTGCCGCCTGTCCTGCAAGCACAAGGTCCCAGGTTCAATCCCCAGTGCCAATAAAGAAAGTGATGAGAGAAAAGCACACACCTGGACACAGCGATGTTTTAAACAGCGAAGACAGCAGTTTCCAGTGGTTTACAGAGAGGAAGAGATCACATAAAAAAGGAGCAAGATCCCGTGACGTCAGCAGGCACCGAGTGAAAATGGACGGAAAAAGGAAAACTGGCAAAAGTCATCAACAGCCAACTTCTTCACAACTCAGGAAATTAAACAGGCTCTAGCAGTCTGTGTCTGAAGCTCCTTGTCTGGCCTCGCTGGTAGTCCCGGGAACGTTCACCCACAAGGAGGGCTTACTTCACATTGGCACTTGCCCAAGAAAGGCCTTTGCTAGCTGGTCATGGTGTCATACACTTGTAATCCCAGCACTTGGGAGGCTGAGGCAGGAGGAAAGGCCCAAGATAAATACCGAGTTCAAGGCCCGCCTGAGCTGCAGGAGCCAGTCACCAAAAAAAAAAAAAAAAAAAAAAAAAAAAAAAAAAAAAAACAGAAGATCTGGGACTGAAAAGAACAATCAAGCCGGGCATGGTTGGGCATGCCTATAATCCCAGCACCCAAGAGGCTGATGCAGGATTGCTACAAGTTCCAGGCCAGCCCAGAATACATAGACCTTGTTTCAAAAGAAAAATATGATCACAGAGATGAAAATTCACTCTATCTGAGTGTAGTGGTGCATGCATACTTATAATCCCAGCAACTGGGAGGCAGAGGAAGGACTGCTTCAGTTCGAGGCCAGCCTGAGCCACACAGTGTGTTCAAGGCCACCCTGAACTACAAACTGAGTTCTTGTCTCAAAGCACCACCCAACAAAAACCCCAAAACAGAAACTCCACTGGGGAGACTCAGCAGCAGATCTGAGCAGGCAAATGAAAATCTGTCAATGAACGTTCAAGACCAAAGAGAAGGAGGAACAAAGAAGCAATGGGTTTGGTATCATGGCATGAACCTCTAATCCCAGCTCCTCTGGAGGCTGAGGAGAGGACCGCTTTGAGCCTGGGAGCTCGTCAACAGCCTGGGAAACACCATGAGACCCTATCTCAAAACCAAAACTAAAAAGCAAGACCTTAGAGACCTGTGGACATGATACAGACCAACATATACAAATGGAAGTCCCACAGGGGGAGGACAGCAGGACAGAAGAAAAACATAACAGAAAACACTGAACTCTATGTAATTTAAAACAGACTACCTCGTGTCCCCTCAGTATTCCTATGGTTGTGATCCTAACCCTGTTTATTAAGAAATAGGGTCTTGGGAGGTCATTAGATCACAGGGGTAGAGCCTTCATGAGTGGATCCAGACCTTCAGGTTTGTTTTTGTGTTTGAGACAGGGTCTGACTATGAGGTTCAGGCTGGCCTTGAACTAATAAAGTCATCCTTCTGCCTCAGCCTCCCAAGTGCTGGGGTTATAGGCGTGTGGCACCAGGCCCGACAAGAAGTCACCATTTGTGATAGAGAACATCAAATACCTAATAATAAATCTAATGTCCAGGAAAGTTATAAAACACAGAAAGGTTGCCCAGGCTTGGTGGCACACTCCTGTAATCCGAGCACTTGGGAGGCTGAGGCAGGAGGATCACTTCATCAGTTTAAGGCCAGCCTGGGCTACATAGCATGACTGTGTCTCAAAAGAGCGCCCTCCCCAGGAAAGGTATGCCATATTCTTGGATAGGAATATTCAAATTCTATCAGAGTTCCAGTAGAGGTTTTTGTTTTTGTGGTACTGGGGATCAAACTCAATGACCTTGTATTGGCGAGGCAGGTGTGGTACCACTGAGCTATATCCCAGCCCTCCCAGTAGAGATTTTGATAAAATCCTAACAGTTTCTCATAAAATTCAAATAAGAGTTTTAGATAAAACATTTAAAGGCAACTGTAAAATTTAAATGAAAGATAAAAGGGCTAGTTATATTCACAAATCTTCTGAACAAGCAAAACAAGTAAAAAGGGGCCATTTTCCTTATCAGATATACGAACCCACTATGAAGCCTGTAACAGTAATCATTTGATATAGGAATAGATGAGACAAAATGACCAAAAGAGAAATAAGCCCTGACAAGACCTGCTCATGTGTGAATTCTTCCTGCAGTAAGAGATGCTGGGTCAGATCAGTGGAGGAAAAAAGGATGACAAGGTTCCTGTTCACACCCTACACAAATATCAGCTCCACATGATTAAGGATGTGTATGCCAAGCAAAGAACTTTAAAACACTTGAAGGCTGGGGATTTGGCTCAGTGGTTCTGCCACCTGCCTCACAAGCCTAAATCAAGTTTGATCCCTGGTACAAAAAAAAAAAAAAAAAAATTTT